CAATGGCTATTTCCATTCTTTTGTCGATGCGATCTATCCCGATGAGCTTGAAATAAAAGATACCACAGATACCACAGTCTGACACATCTGTTTCATATTTGGATATTTTACTTGAAAAAGACGTTAATGGTAATCTAGCAACCAAGCTTTATGATAAACGTGATGACTTTATCTTTTCAATCGTCAACTTCCCTTACTTATGCAGCAATATACTTTCATCACCTGCATACGGGATATATATCTCTCAGTTGATTTGATACGCAAGAGCATGCTCTACGTATGTACAATTTCTAAAACGAGGTAAATTATTGACAAAAAATTTAATGAAGCAAGAATATCAGCTGTCTCGTTTAAAGTCATCATTTCGTAAGTTCTATGGTCGATACAATGACCTTGTCAGCAAATACAATTTATCATGGAGTCAAATGCTGACTGACGTTTTTCATACTGAATGTTAGTCCATTATTTACACACTGAATTGTCGACGGATTTTTCCCTTATTTCCCGATCATGACAAGGAGCACAAGGCGGGTGTGACCGGTCGGCAGGGGATGTTCACTCCTCCATGGCACCTGATCCCACCTCTGATGTTTGGAGGTCCGTGTTTGCTCTGCTCCTATTTTGTATTGTTTGATGGACCTTTGAGCTCGATAACTGTCCGTTATATCCACATATTTAATTGAATAAATCTTTTAGACTCATAGTTTATCCTGAAAGTTGGAAGCTAGCACATGTCCTTCCCTTATTCAAAAAAAAAAAAAAAAAAAAAAAAAAGACGATCCATCAGTCACTTCAAGTTATTGACCTGTATCTCTTTTGAGTTGTGTAAGTAAAATATTTGAGAGAGTTATATTTAAATATGTATATACTTTTTTTTTACACAAATGATTTTTTCTATAAATATCAGGCAGGATTTCTGCCCTTTCACTCAACTGTGTACCAACTTTTAGAAACTTATCATACTAATGTAAAAACATATTGATGAAGGGCAACATTGTTGTATGGTTTTCTGTGATTTATCTAAAGCTTTTGATAGAGTTTGGCATAGGGGATTGATTCATAAATTAAAAATGTATGGTATCTCTGGTAATATGTTAGAATGGTTGACAAGTTACTTGAATAATAGAAAACAAAAGGCCATGTATAAAAAATCATTTTCTTTTGTGAAAAATGTGCATGCTGGGGTACCTCAGGGCTCTGTCCTTGGTCCTCTTTTATTTTTAATATATGTGAATGATACAACCGAAAACATGATATCTGTTTGCGGACTATTTGCAGACGATAATTCCTTACAAAAGAGCTCGATTGACGTGCGCCTCATTGAACATAATCTTAATCATGACTTAAAAATTCTGGATGAGTGGTCCAAAAAATGGTTATTGAAATTTAATTCAAGTAAAACAAAAGTAGTATTTTTCAGCTAAAAAATACAAACCAATTACCTAAATTATTTTTGGGGACTGTCATTTAGAATATGTATCACAACATAAACGTCTTGGCTGGACTGACTACACCGATAGTATTGCCAGTAAAAGCTACAAAAAAAAAAAAACTTGGACTTCTCAAGAAACTTAAATTTTCAGTGTCTAGAGATACTTTATCAAAACTTTACATTTCTTTTATTCGACCACAACTTGAGTTTGCATCTGAAGTTTGGTCAGGTTGTTCGTTGGCAGATATCAATAAACTTGAAAAGGTTCAATGACCGCTGCAAGAATAGTGACATGTCTTTCAGTATTAGCATCAAGAAACGCATTGTATATTGAAACTGGTTGGAACCTCTTGTAACAAGAAGAGACAAAGCCAAACTTCTAAAAATGTTTAAAATCCGCAATAATTTAGCTCCTGATTACTTATAAATATAGTGCCGATGGTTAGAAACACTCTTTCAATTACAATACTCGTAATTCATATAATTGTTCCTTACCAAAATGCAGGGTTGAATTATTCAACTTTTTTTTTCAAAACTCAGCGGTATAAATTGAACGTGTTGAACACGTCGATCACTAATAACGTCAATATGAAATTACGTAAATCGTTTAAGACTAAACAATCAATTTAATGTCACATGACGAACTTGTTTTACACCGATGTAAAAACTCCTTTATTCAAATAGTGTTATATAAGGGAATATTTGGAAATGTATATATTGATACTTGAGATATAAAGTGTGTCTCTCATACTGTTTGAGAGTCAAAAGAATTATACTTGAGATATAAAGCTTATCTCTCAAATAATGATACCTGAAATATAAAACCAATCTCTCATATTGTTTGAGTCAATATAGGAATAATAATACTTTATATCTTTCATATAATGAAAACACCTCTGGAATTTACTGGGGTCCGTGTTTATTCTCGTTCACAGATTTGTATTATATACAGATTTTTTTTAAAGATCGGTCACTGTTTGTTATATTGATCTTTCTTTTCAATTTTCTGACAGCGTTAAAAGTCCAATACTTTCATTATTTGGATGCTTTACAGACTATTAACGAAAAAGATCAATTAACAACTAAATTGCATGAAAACAAAAAATTTTCACCTTTTCCATCGTCAAAATTCTTTATTTTTGTAGTAACATTCCGCTATTACCTGCCTAAGGTGTGTTTATGTCTCCCAACTTATTCGATCCTTTATAGCATGCTTTGAGTTCATCAATTTGAAATCGAAGCAGGCTACTGGCAAACAAGGTAATTTTACAGGAATTTTAACAAATTCCTTTAAAGAAAGTATTCCAGAATTATTTATACTAAATTCAAACCTTATACGGAGTTAATTTTTTCCAACTTATTTGATACCAAAAAGAGCATGTTCTACGTACAGTCAAATTCTAAACCGAGGCAGACTGCTGATTATTTGACAAATAAATTGATGATACAAGAGTTTCAGAAATTTCTATTAAATTCAGTATTTCCCAATTTGTTTTTGCTTTGGAAGAGAACCAGACAACAAGATTAAAATCAGGTTTAGTAGGTGATTGAATGAAACAGGTTTGATATCGGTATTTCAATAATGATATTATTTTCTTTCCTTTTTCTGCAGAGGTGGATTTTAATGGCTCTTTTGCATTCCGTGCCAATGTTTTTACATTTGACGACAATGCCTTGCTTCACTTTTTTTTTTAAATAATTGTATTATCCCTCGGGTAAATTGCAATTAATAGAAGTAAACATGAATATTGACTTTGCACATATACTTGCGTTGAACTTTTTTGATGTCAAAATAAAATGCATACTATAATCTTTTGCATCCCCGTCTTTTTATTGTGTTTTGAATGCGTAGTTATCAACACATATTATAAGCAAAATGTTTCTTTAACCTCACTACATACCCTTGTTAAAAAGTTAGACATGTGGGGCGTAATAATCTGGCATCATTGTGTTTGTTGCCAGAAAAATTTAAGCCAAATAAATATATTAATGGTATAATTCAATTTGTTGAAAGAAATATGAAGTACGTTTGAATATTTAGCTATTTTTTTCCCCTAAAAAAAGGAACATAAGCATCCAATTAAGCAGTTATTTTCAATTATATAAGGTATATTAAGTATAGAATGGAATATGTCTGCTCATCATTGAAAATACTGCATGCCTGGAAAAAAGATGGGGTATATATCTATAGAGAAGCATAATCCTGGATATATTGTGCTGAGGTACATGAACATCAAATGCAACTAATTATGATTGGGTTATAAAATATCTTGAATACAATGAAACCTGTTTTATCCGACATGCACTGGGAGAAAATAAACACGATGTAGGTTGCACAGTGTAAAGATCATAGAAAGAGCTAGGTTCACTTTCTGCATAAAATGACCCTGTCATTATATCAATTAATTGACTATCACCCTCTGTCCCATTTCATATATCAAAATAAACTAGAGACTTAGTGCTTTAATTTCCTATAACAAATTTTCTTTTTGAGAATCCAGGTATTAGAAAACAGACTTTGAGAAAATACAATGTTCTTGAATTTTGCAGAAAACATGCGTAGTTGTCTACCATCATCAAAGAATTAAAATATGAGCACAGCTCACGATCCAAAAATTAAAACATTTTTCTGATCTTCAAAAAGAATTCTTTCATTATTTAATTGCATATTTTGGATCAGAGGTTGTGCTCTACATGAAATATTGAAAAAATAACTAAACTTTTGGTCATTTTTAAGGGAATTTACCGGATATGGGAAAAATGACGCACTTTACGACGTCATAATGCATTAACTAGAGAGAAAATTACGTCATGTTTAATAGATACACGGTCACTAAGCGTTCAAGTTATAAATACAGCATTTTCAACCAAAAATGAGAATGAAATGCAATGTCGGAATTCACAGATTGTACTGGTGTCGGAGAAAACAGTTTCCACTGTAATACGTTTAATAATAGAGCAATCTTTATCCAAATTATCCGTCTAGGTATCTTCATGTGGTAGTGTTCGTAAATAAAAACGAAATATTTCTAATTGCCAATTTATTACAACACATATTATGTACAGCTTTAACTTGGTACATTTGGTAAGGAAAATAAAATAAAAATAATAAATTATTATTCTTTCAGCAAATAGTTTGACCACAAAATCCCCTCAAATCAAAATTCTTTACAAGTTTTCTCTCTTGATATATAACATTATCTAAAAAAGAAATTGAATAGAATCCCATGATAAATTTAAAATTGTCTCTTTTATTAGAAATGCTTTATCTGACTGATTGGTGGTCGTCATCAATTTGAGGCCTGGTCTCTCAATTTTTAATGTCCATCTGTTGTAAGTAAAAAAAAAATAATAAAAGTATTAAATAATGTTTAAGAAAAATAAAAGGGTATGTTTTATAAAAAAAGATAAAAAAAAAATGTTTTATAACAAAGTAAAGAATTAAATAATGTTTCAGAAAAAAAGAAGGGCATATTTTATACCTCTTACGAATATTCTAATACCTGTTTAAAATGTTCAAGGAAATACCAAGAGTAAATACTGGATATTAATATTTAGTTTTGTTTACCTAGTGACGTCTGATTAACATCATGGTCTGCCTCCCATTTGCCCCACTCTCTACTGTTGGATACCAAGGCCAGCTCCAGTTTGCCGGGGACCAGGGACCGTTGAGGAAGGCCTGGTGACAGGCGTTAAACCACCATCCTCCTCTTTTGTTACTGTCAGCAGCACAGTTATATCCTCCACTGTGTGGAGGAATCTTAAGGACAAGGAATTATATAAAAAGATATATATATATATATCTCTCTCTCCCTCTCTCATATTTTAACGATTTGATTATGGTTTGTCTCCTTATGCAAAAGCAAGATTTTATAATAATTTCACTATGTAAACTTAGATAATGTTCTTTTTAAATTTACTTTTATGGGTACTTAGTATCTCATAAGAATATTTTCTACTCCCTCCTCTTTATGAATACTTATATTAAAGGTCAAGTTTAATAATGTTTGCGGTTTCCTATTTTCTTAATGCTACAAGCTAAACTCGCTAAACTCATCTTTTTTTTTTAATTTTCAGATCACTTTCTTCCATGTATTTGATAAAGTTCATTGCTTCAAATAATAAAAAACGATTGCGTTAAGCCTCTTGTACTTTCAGTACGATAATGTATGTCTTTGCTTCGTGTCACAAAATGTTCAAAAAATATCTACGACAAGAGAGATAATTCTTCATGATTTAGTTCGAATTTGAAGTTTTGCATCAAGTAATTTAAACTTTACAGAAAACGGAGAAAACAACTGCTTACAGGTAGGCAATTGGTGCCGTCTTTCATTGTATAATTAGCAGTGCAGTCATTTCCATTTCTCTAATTTTTTAGATATTTTGCAAAAATAAAAAAATAAAAAAATAAATAAAATAAAATAAATTATTCATTTTTAATTGAAGGATACATTTAGAAAAAATAAATAAAAACAACATCTTGATTCTCTACACATGCATTTGGATGTTGAAATAAAAATATGCTTTAATTTCTGATTGACAATATTTATGTAGTTTTTGGAGATTAAGTCTTCCAACAATTTGTTTGCTTTCTCATATGTGTTAGATTTTCCTTACTGTACAAGATGTCCATATTTCTAATCTTTGATGCAGAATTTATTCAAATATTACGTATGGGAAGAAAATTACTGCAGCTGCCTTCAATTCAACATGAGACACTTTACTAATATATTGTTTGTTTATTCATTATTTTATCATTATATATTATTTTAAATTTATGTTTGTCATCTTTGTTTACAAACAATTTAATATATAAATAATCTATATCATTTTTCTTTAATTTCCTTTTTTCATTTACGCAAAAGACGCAGAAATTCTGGGTTTTTTCATTTTACGCATTGAATTGCAATCTTTTAACATTTCTGTAATTATTTATTTCATCTCGAAAATTTATATTTAAGTCTAAAATCAGTCAAAATTTTTAAGAAACAGCTTGAATTATATTACGAGCCATTAACGTATACAATTGAAACTTTTCAATATTCTTTCCAAAATAAGTATCACATAAAAAAGGTCATAAGAAATTGAATAATTTTACAAAACGGTTAAAAAAGGTAAGTATACTACGGAACGGTCAGTGAAGATCCCTGAATAATCAAGGAAAAAATTAAGAGATTATCACTGAAAGCAAGTTAACGGACAGGGAAGGGATCCAGAAAGTTAATTCTAATTCTACCGCTGAATGGTCCCCTGAATGTGACTGAATAACGACTGAAGAGTGAAAGGACAGGGAAGGGACCCAGAAAGCTAATTCTAATTCTACCGCTGAATGGTCCCCTGAATGTGACTGAATAACGACTGGAGAGTGAAAGATAACTTCATGGAAAGACACTGCAGTGTACAAGGCATTCAGTAGCTTATTTGTCACTTAATGGTCACTGATTATCGCCTTTCTGTCTTAACTGAATGGTCTATTTTTTTTTTTTTTTTACAGATTGGTTTAGAAAAGAAACTTAATGGCAATGCAAGGTTCTGAAGTGAAATAAATAACTAAGTGGAGAAAGAAAGATAACTATAAGTGATCCTTTAATGTTCTTTGAATGCCGCTTTTTAGTTTTCTCTTAATGTTTTTTTATAGACGGAATCTCACTGAAAGATTGCTAAATCGGCGTAATTTAATGACAATCAAACAATCAATCGGTCAATTCTCTGATTTTTAACTACGAGCAATACAACTTAACGTAGGTCGCGGGTTTGCAGGCCTTTTAAAAGTGTCCGAAAACATACCATGAAAATTAGTTATATGATTCCTCTGCCTTTGTTTTACATTCTCTGAAAATTTTATAAAATTCGTGTGCATCGTTTTCATGTAATTAAATTCCAAAGATGCCATTGTTGTAGTAACATTTTCGACGTTATTGTATTGAATTATATAGGAAAAACGCCGATTTCGGTCGTTTTCAGGTAAGATTTTTTTCTTCAAAAAATATCATTAACTTTTAAATGGTGCAGACGAAAATGTTCCCCCTTTGGTATCTTAAAATAGAATTGATTTCAAATAAATCTATGTGAAAAAATTAATATGTTTTCGAGATTGTTTTCTCGTAATTTAAATGTAGATAATTGCTTTTATATCGCAAAATGTAACATTTTTAAGAACTACGTCATTAAATATCGCGACGTCATGCTTGACGTCGTGAATATCGACCCTGTATACAGAGCAGAAAAACAAATTAAAATATTTTTAATTCACGTCTATCTGCTTTCATATGACCCACGAATCGTATCATAATAATTCAATAGCAATGAAATGATTATTAGACATGTTTCTCTTCTAATATTCTTTGTATCTCTCATATTAGTGAAAATTATCTCAATCAGTTATCGACGATCAATCCTTTAGTTTCTTACTTTCAATGTATTTCCTTTATGTGTAGTTTTCTTACCGTTTCTTTTCTTTTTGTTTTGTTTTCTTTTCTTTTTCGTAGATAAGTATCCTACATTTGGCTATGTATTTTTTTAGTGCGCTGGTGGAAAACAGTTATCCTCTTATTCAAGTATACATATGAAATGTTTTTATTTAGAACATTCAGCAATGAGCTCATAGCTACGATAATTTCTTAATGAATGAATTTCCGCCAAATATCGTCCCGGCTAAATACATGGTATTTTCAGTATATATTTAAAAAAAATGTTTTTATTTATTTTTACATATAGACATAACTTTTAAAAAAAATCTTAACTTGATTTTATGATTATACGTATAAAAATAGAAAAAAAAAAACAAAACAAAAAAAAAACAAACAAACAAACAAACAAACAAACAAACGAACGAGACATTTTTAGAGGGGTAAATGTGACGAGAATCTAAAAATTAATTTTATCTGACGCAATCAACAGGCAGATTTTTTTTTTGGGGGGGGGGGGGAGTTCAAAAGACTTTCAATGTATATAACATTAATTCGACTGGTTGGACATGGAAAGCAAAGTAGCGAAGAAAATCTGTAGATAACAGCATTGTAAGCCGTTATTTACACAGATACTTTGGGTTTTGACAGCCCCCCTCCTTCCATTATTTTTCTTTTTAAATCTGGGGTCGAGTCACCCTTTTCCTATTTTCGAATTCTAATATGATCTATATGTTATCAATAATGTAACCCTTTTGTCTTTATAAACTGTTTTTAAATATATCGTTTTTGACTGATACATAAAAATGCCCCCCCCCTTTTTTCTTTTTAAATCTTGGGTCGAGTCACTTTTTTCCTATTTTTGTATCCTAACATGTACTATATGCTATCGATAATGTAACCCTTTTGTCTCTATAAGCTGTTTTTAAATATATTGTTTCGACTGATACATAAGAAGAGAGATTTTCTCGTCGTTTAACTTAAACTTCGGATGATTATTTATCTAAAGCATAAGAAAACATGAACTATGCAGACATCAATATTTTTGTTTTTTACACATTGTTCTTCCGTTTCGTATTTCCATTTAATTTTTATGTGCCCCCGATTAGTAAATATTTCGATTAAATCACCCTCATCTAAGGGTATCTTTACGGCCTATGGGTAAATTGTCGGTATTAGAATACAAAATAAAAGGTGACTCGCCCCTTGATTTAAAGAGAAAAAAATGGAAAGGGGGGATCCATATCCCAATTGCCTGTGTTTACTTACAGGATGTCGATGTCGCTAAAAAATATATTAGTTTATGTTTCATAGTACCTTAGCAGTTTTTAATTTGTGATAAACCTTTAAATATATTTTTAAAATGTCCTTTTTAAAAATAAAGGTTAAACTTTTAATGTAACAGGTGTATTTGCGATTGTTTATATAATGATTTCTTTATTGATTAAGCAAACTGTTATTTCAAATACTTTCAAAGGAAAAGAGGTCAGTTGAAACTTGTGCCCATATCGTTTCGCAATACCATGTGAAATCTAATCAATCGCAATTTCGCGGACCTTTCCGAAAAGCCGAAAATTCCGAGCGATTGATAACACATAATGAAACGCCACCTAATACTTCAAGTGTTGGATTCGAATCGTAATAACCCTTCATTATATTTGATAAATTCAGTTTGTTCTATAAATAATATTACACTAAACTACCACTCCCAACAAAAATTATATCTAAATATTGTATCGACTATACATTCAAATCGTAAAAAAACCTTCATTATTTGTGATAAGTTGTGCCTTAAGGGGGACCGACCCTCTGATAAGAGAGATAACTTTCCAAGTAAAATATCCTAGTATTACTCATAGTTTACTTTATCAGAGTTTAATTATCGAGACCTTTGAGCAGTCAATTCGATCAAACTTAACATAAGATGGAAACATTACCATATATTTCCTTTGACTGTACTTTTCAAATTGTTTTATTATGTTTGACGGAAAAAAAAAAAAAAAAAAAAAAAAAAAAAAAAAAAAAAAAATTAAATCCAGTTTTAAAACCCTTAAAAATTGAATAAGTTCTATCTTTTTAACGATCATTTTAAAAATGGTTTAATGTATCAAGCACCAAATGTAGAATTTTTATTAGTATTACATTTTTTTTCCAATGAAAAAATATTTTTAGGAAATAACTCTTGCTAACAGATGTATTGTTTTCTTTCAACCACATATAACATTGTGATATTCTGACTTAGGAAGCAGCGCTTCATTATGATTTCTAATATGAATTTAGTAGGTATGACACTAAATATTATTTTCATATACACCGCATATTTCTAATTTTATG